TGGTGCAGTATTTGGCCGGCCTCATCATCCGGAGTAGGTCCTCAGTAGGCCTCCCCTTGGGCTGACGTTGGTGGTAGTGGAACAACCATTGATGCAGACACTAGCTAGGCAAAGGACAACCTCTTCCAGTGCTGTTCACTGTTAAGCTGGAGGGATTTCAGGGAATGAATCATGCAACTACCGTCATAGCCGAGCAGTATCATTGTGAACGTGAAACCGATGAGCCCAGGTTCGATCCCTAGCTTTACCGCTTTATAAATCATGGATTCCTTGCACAGCAGACAGCATTCCTCCACATGAGCGGCATCTGCCTTGCTGTGTATGCTACTAATACATTCATCCTAGTCGCAATTAGAACGACGGCACATCGTTCGCGCGGCTCGACTACGTTGAGGAAAAGCAAGATTTCAAGATTTGCAAGAGGTCTGACGTTAATTGATGTGTATTGGTTGTCGGTTCCCTGGTTCCTATGAGTAACATAAGGCACTACGGAGACGTCAGTGAGGCGGTACTCCGTGATGAGGCCGTTTCTAGCCACCATCTCCCCCCGCCCACCACTTCGTCGTCGAATGAGGGCCCTAGAAGGGAGTCTGAGGTGATAATAATGGGAATTAGGTAGATTATTATTCGCATTCATCCCAGCATTGCTCGAGACGCGCTATCTTGGTGAGATCGAATGCACCTGGTAAACTGAGTAGTTATTAGATTAGTACATAACACAATATAATCAATAATGTAGGACCTATTCGTCAATTCGGTAGGGCTATATCATTCTGTATTATACATTTGTCAGTAATTGCTATCGCCACCAGAGGCTTTAGAGTGTACGATAGGATTGAAAGTCTCCATCGACGCACATGGTCAACTACATGTATAGGTGACGATTTGTGGAAATTCTGAGAAAAACTGATGAAATTCTCATTGATTTCTGTACACTTCCACTCAAAGTCGGATTTAAACTTCTATAATTAGTGAGGAAGCTCTTAGACTCAGCCGAGGAAAGCGAACATATATTCCGACACTGTATTGTATACATCAAGTCGTTGGGGGTATCGTATAACGTTATAACCTGTATTACATTCTAGTACTAGTAATCAACATTATCCTACATTTATATATCTACTTAGGTTTTATCGTGTACCTTAGCGATGCGTGATCGTGTATGATCGCTTCGTATAGTCATTGAATATAAACTGTAAAATAAATGTATATTCGATAACTATATAGCCACATCGATGAAAATTTTCGTAGCCTTTATCCATATCGAGCTGCATTGGATCTATCCAGGTTCTTCTAAGGGCCAAGCAGAAAGCTGATGAGCTACACAAGGCATTTGAGGAGGTCAGGAAGACCAAAGGAGATCTCAGCGCTGCTGTGCCTGGGTCCGACAGAGAGGTCAAGAACAAGCTCAGGCTCATAGGGGAGCCCATCTGCCTCTTTGGGGAGGATCCCGCTGATAGAAGAGGTCGACTCAAGTTGCTCTTATCCAAGGGCAAGTACCAGGAGCTCCTTAAGCCGGCAGCAGCAGCTGCAGCAAAAGAGGCCTCTAGAGGTGATAATTATGGGATTATATGTGATGATATTTTAGAGTGTAGGAGATGATAAAAGAGGCAAGGTTGAACAGGAGCTGTTCTTTACTATTGGTAGTGAGAACCTTATGGCTAAACGACGAAAGCTGTGGGATATTACTAGGCAGAAATCAAAAAAGGTAAACTGTCTCCCCGAGTTGGTATGCTTATCAAGCCCGATTCGGTTTGGGGGGACATTGCGATGTGAGGTGCTGTAGGTCCTTGAGGCTGAGAGGGAGGACTTCCATAAGACGATTGATTACGACTACAACAGGCGTTTTACGGTTCTTGCTGATGCGCTCAAGTCAGTGCTGTTGCTGCTGTCGTTGTAGCTGAGCTCCTTATAGGTCGGCCCACTCTATTGAGGAGTTCACTGGAGCTGGCTCGGATACCCGACCCTTGTCGTGTATACGTCTATCAAGGGCGACAAGGGGTGCTGATCCTCATGCACAGGCTCCGAGGGTTGCTGTGGCTAGCTGGAGTGGTTATATAGGGGTAGGAATCTTAGGTTGACTGCTGAAAGATTCATTTCATGTCAGATATGGAGTGCGGATGAAAAGATGAAGCGACTGTATACCCTGGGATCTGATGGGCATGGGCACTCAGACAGGTGGGGACTGATTAGTATCGAGATGACTGAATTGATTTTGGTGACGATGTGAAAATTCCGAGGAAATTGTGGGAAATGCTCACTGGTTTATACATTTTCAGAACATATTTTCACTTTCCTCAGCTGAGCTCAGGAGTTCTCTCGTTTACTATAGGAGTTTACTTACGAATCCGGAAAAAATCTTCCCAAAGATTCTCCCAGATTTTCCATATTGTCACCAACACATGTAGTTGATGATGTGCGTATTTTCCCCCATAT